TTTTGTGGCTGGAAACTTCTCTCGGATTTGTGTTATCACTTGGATTTGTTCATATCTTACTTCGTTGATTGAACGGTCGCGAAACGAAGAAATCGTGGTATCCACCGGACGTAACAGTATCATGGCTGTATATGGACGGTAATTATACAGAATAATATCTTCAAGAATAATTAAGGTATTACTTTTGGAAGCTTGAAATAAATATTCGAGCAATTATTTGTATTTTACAACTCCTACACAATTTTACTAAAATTTGTATATCTTTTTATCCCTAATAATATTATTTCATATATTTCATGTCTAATTATTTGCAATACGTCTCTTATCTCCGATTTCGATGAAATTAGGCTTATTCGATACGTTTTTGCACAAAACGAAAGAATCTGTAAGAAAAAACGTTGGGACGGCCCCACGAACCGAGATATTAAAGTTGACAGCAATAGAGGTTAGGAAATTCGTCATATCGACGAGATGCAACGACATGTACGAATATTTTGGTCACAAATTCTTCAGAATATACAATTCGCTGCTTTAAAAATACAAATTTGTGTTTGTAAAGCAGAGAATTTGTTTGTACAGCAGAGAATATAATTGTGAATGAGTAATTGTTAATAATTATATATATAATTATATATCTCGGTTCGCGGAGCCGTCCCATCGTTTTTTCTTAGATTTTTTCGTTTTGTGCAAAAACGCGTCGAATAAGCCTAATTTCATCGAAATCGGAAATGAGGGGCGTATTGTAAATAATTGCCTCATGTTTTTTCTAACAACAAAATATAATTTTCGCACATATAATCTAATTGACGAATAATAATTAAATATTTTAACAAATCTTACCTGTAAAATGAAAGGTATGCGTTCCCTCTCCCACATCGAATCTCTAGTTTACATAAAATTGGTTTAATAATTCTTGAAACTTTGTCGGTATACTTGTCGGTCAACGTTTTCGTCATATGGGGGGTCACGTTAGACATAACGATGACTGTTGCTTTGAAACTATATGTATCGTTATAAATTTGTCGTTAACAGCGGTACAGAATAGCTTTTTTCGCATGTTGTCGGCCGACACCATTAAGGGGGTATTCTTATGTGTCGGGTCAAAAAATCTTTTTTTTTTTTACTTATTTTGAAAGTATATCGTTAGGAGAATATGATGTTAAAGTTTCATTAAAAATGTTGGAATTAAAAAAGTTGACAATCGGTCCGCAAGCTATAAATTTCATGGAGACGCACGACGAAGCGCGCATAACAAATGCGGAGCACTGCACCACTGCGGCTTCAAAAGAGGCCAGAGCAGCTTTGAGGGCGGCTAGGGCAGAAGAAAACGATGCTTTTGAGGAAGCTGAAGGTCTATTGTATGGAGCAGGCATAGCCGATTAGTGTAAGTATATTTTTTCTTCGAAAAATCAACTAAGAAAACTTTAAACGCGTTTTTCTCGAAACCACTTTTTTTTGGTCGGTGCAGGTGATTAATAAAAAACTATCCAACCGATTGGCCTGAAATTTTTTGAGCATAATCTACATATGATTGGCTCTCGCAGGTACCAGAATCGCTTTTTTTAAATGAAAATTTCTTATTTTTTCGACCACCAATAAACACGAAAAAATTGCGATTTTTTGCTTCAAAATTTCAAATGGCCGCTATTTCTTTTTTTTTTATAGACATAACCAATTCTGGTACCTGCGATAGCGACAAGCATACAGATTAAGAATCTTTTTTACTTTTTTGTTTTAGATGACAGTGTGAGCTGAAATCACTTGCACCGCTGACAATGCTTTTTTTCAAGGCACCATCTTTGACTACAGAGAGCATACACAAAATATTAATAAATTATGACCAAAAAAATTTTTTTATAAACTATAAGATGCAAGTAATAACATATAAAAAGATTAAAAAGATTGCGTTTTATTTTCTTTATAAAAAAAATTCCTAAAATATGTTTAAAATTTTGACCTTGACATGAGAATACCCCCTTAACGACGCCGACGATAGTCGGTACGCGGGAACGGAATAGTGCCCCAATAGTTCTGATTATCGTTTTCGGCAGTTCTCGACGAGTTCTATCGAAAAGTATCAGGTGGCAAAGCGATATTCAAGATACGCGAAATTAAAGAAGTGATCAAAAATTGTTTTTTAATTTTCTTGTTTGTCAAAATTGTTTTTTATGTGTCAGGAATTCTAGGTATTCACTAAATAAAGCTATCGAGCCGCTCAGAACTATTCGATCTCGAATTTCGATAATAAGTTAGCACCCCATTTTTTAAAAATTATTTAAAAATAGTTATTAAGCGGAACTCTTGTTATAAATGATAGACTTCGTCTGGACAAAAGGAAACGGGAATTCTAATCAGAACTATGAAATTTCAATATTGGGGTGCTAACTTAACATGCGCTGGCTCAGACGACCCTGTTAGCGCAACCGAGGGCCAACGGAGAGCTCGCGCTGTTTACGGATACATCCGAACATAGCGTTGGTGTAGCGTTACAGCAGCGGACGCAGAACGGCTGGGAGTCTTTGGCATTCTTTTCGAAGAAGTTAGGCCCAGCAAAGGCGAAGTATAGCGCATTTGACAGAGAGCTATTGGCTATGTACCTCTCAGTCAAATACTTTCGCCATATGTTAGAGGCGAGAACGTTTGTAATATATACCGACCATAAGCCGCTAATTTTTGCTTTCCAGCAGAAACCGGAGAGAAGCACGCCACGGCAGTTCCGTCACTTTGATTTTATAGGGCAGTTCACGACGGATATCCGACACGTGACGGGCGAGGACAACGTCGTGGCCAACGCGTTGTCGAGAGTCGAGGAAATTCAGTCGCCCATGGATTATGTTGCGTTGGCAGCGGCGCAGGAGAGTGACGAGGAGCTCAACGGGTACCTACGACGGGACACGGCACTGAAGCTAGAGAAGGTCGAGATCCCATGAGCAGGGACATCTGTTTACTGTGACACGGCGACAGGAGTGCAGCGTCCGTATTTGACGAGGACGTTTCGGCGAACTGCGTATGAGGCAATCCATAATTTGGTTCATCCTGGAGTGAAAGCGGCGGCCAAGCTCGTGGCACAGCGCTACGTATGGCCAGCAATGGAGAAAGACTGCCGAGGATGGGCGCGTGCGTGTGTCTTGTCAGAAGTCCAAAGTGTCTCGTCACGTCGTGGCGCCCTCGGGGAAATTCGATGTGCCGTCACGCAGGTTTGAGCATGTTCATCTCGATATAATCATCATGCCTATCTCATAAGGTAAGCGATATTGTCTTACTTGTGTAGACCGATTCACATGATGGCCGGAGGTGTGCCCAATGGAAGACAAAGAAGCAGAAACGGTGGCAAAGGCATTCTACGAGAGCTGGATCTGTCGGTTTGGAGCCCCCTTGCGCGTGATGACGGATCAGGGACGTCAATTCGAGTCTCAGCTCTTCCGACGTCTGGGTGAGCTTACGGGTACGAAGCATCTGAGGACGACGGCGTACCATCCGCAGGCGAATGGAATGGCGGAGAGATTCCATCGCCAGCTCAAGGCGGCGATTAAATGCCATAATAATTGCCGATAGACGGAGGTGCTGCCGACTGTGTTACTGGGGATCCGAGCGGCCTAGAGAGAGGACTTGCAGGTAACTGCGGCCGAGCTCGTATACGGGAGGCGGCATTGCGACTTCCCGGGCAATTTTTGAGTCAGCAGAGCAAGCAAAAGAGCGACGCCGTGGGCTTCGTAAAGGAGCTGAAGGAGCACTTCAATGAGTTGCGCCCAGTGGACGGCACCAGGCACGGAGAGTATCGAACATTTATTTTCAGGGATCTGGCGACGAGCGGACAGGTCTTCGTGAGGCAAGACGCGCAGAGAGCGATGCTACAGGCGCCGTATGACGGGCCGTATGCGGTCGTCGGCCGTGCAGAAAAAACACTGGTGGTGCTGGTGCACGGAAAGGAGGTGACGGTGTCCATCGACAGGGTCAAGCCGGCGTACATCCTTACAGAGGATGTGCCGGATGATGGAGCGCCGGGGCTTGACGTAGAGAGACAGGATCAGGAAGCCACCAGCCGAGAAAGAGTGAAGGAGACAACGCGCGGCGAGAGCCAGCCGAGACGAACGACGAGGCAGGAAAGTAAGATTTCCAGAGCGTTTCCAGGCAGGCCTGCGATGAGCGATGGATGGACGAGCCAGCCAAGGACTCAGTGAGCAGGTGATGGAGTAAACACTCACCAGGCCCGGGCGGAACCGGGGGAAGAAGACGCGGTCTGGCCGGGAGAGGAGCGAGATCGCACGAGCGAGAGCAAGTAGAGACCGATAAGAGAGCAGAAAGATGCATTTATATATATGTACCTAGATCGGAAAATATTCGGAGGCGCAGTTGCTTGCCCGCGTGGAGTAAATATAGCCGAAATAAGCGTTAAGGATAGACTAGACTATTGTAGATACTCTTTATTAGTATATATTTCTTATTATTTTCATTCGACGTACGCGGTCGCACGGAAATGAAGTAATATTTATATATCCCATTTATTTTATTTACTTTACTTATATGTTATGTATCTTATTTAGAATATTTATGTTAATTTATATCAGCATATGCGAATGACCGTAGTGATACCGCACTTGTATGTACGTGAAATAGTTGCGGAGAAAAAAATTAAAACGATACAGGGAAAATCAGTAACGTAACGTTGGGTCCCTCACACGCGAAGGGGTACTGTAGCGATTACATCGCCACAAAGGATAGAGTTTGCGAAAATAATATAGGAAGAAAACATATTTACAAGTACAGAGGCCCGAGTATACACGGCCGGTGAGCCGTTATACGCGAAGGCCGTATTGAGAGTAATGCGAATTTTTAAACTCGCCAACTTCGCATAGATATTAATTTTTCCCCTTCTTGCCGTGGGGAAATGCATCGGTATTAAATAGTGAAGCAAGGGCCTGGAAAATAATAAGCAGTAACGAAAGCGTAAATTGTATATTTTTATTATGTGCGTTGATTAGCGTTACAGGTTTAGTTTCTCTAATAATTTCAAAGATTCGAATAATAGCGAAGACGAGTGATAAATAGACAGGCGAAATAATATTGACGAGTCATAAAAGTGGGAGAAAGTCGGGGATTACTTGCGACCGAGAAATGAAACAAAAACGAGGAAGTAGATAAGCTGACGCATTCCGAGACAGACGTGCCTAAATTCGGAGAAAAGCGATTACAATTTATAAGTATCGGAGACTTAAATTCGTCCGCTGACACGATACGTGTTTCTGATTGTGCGACTACTGTAAGTGGGAATAACAGTTAATGATACTGACGACCAGCATAGCGTATTCACTCTCGTTATACATATATGCGTGATTTATTGAATAAATTATTTTTTTTGTCTAAGTCGAACACGCTGAACTTTAAAATATTGGTGACCCTTCAGATCACAAATCCACATACACAAATAATGATGGAAAGAGAGCCAAAATATTATAAACAAGACAACGTTTCGACCTATCACGAGGTCAAATCGTTAAAAATTTCGAATATGTACGAACTGTAATATTAGGTGTACAACTTTGCTTCCGCCGTTTTTTTTCCGAAATTCGAGGCTTTATTGTAAAAAACTGGTTATACATTTATGATTTAAAGTATTGTCCATCGCTGGCCACTACTTTCTCCCATCTTTCGGGCAGCGTACGAATCCCGAGTCGAAAAGACTGGTCATTTTTGAGGCGATCGACGAATCGATTCAATGTTTTACTTCTTCATAAGACCGGAAGTGCTGGTCAGCCAGGCCGTGTGCCATTGATCGAAACAAGTGATAGTCAGAGGGAGCAACGTCTGGAGAATACGGCGGGTGGGGTAGGACTTCCTATTTCAACGTTTCCAAGTATGTCTTGACCACTTTCGCAACATGGGGTCGAAAAGTGTCATGCTGCAAAATCACTTTATAGTGTCTCTCGTTGTATTGCGGCAGTTTGTCTTTAAATGCTCGGCTCAAGCGCATCAATTGCGTTGGATACCGATCGCCTGTGATTGTTTCTCTCGGTTTTAACAGCTCATAATACACTACGCCGAGCTGGTACCACCGAATACAGAGCATGACCTTGGAGCCGTGAATAAAATCGGTTTCGTCGACGTGGAAGCATGGTCGGGAACTCCCTATGATTTTCTGCGCTTGTGATTATCGTAATGAACCCATTTTTCGTCCCCAGTCACAGTACGATGCAGAAATTCCTTGCCTCTCAAGCAGCTGTTCACTAGAAAACGAACGCCGTTCAACATCTCTCGGCTTCAACTCGTACGGTACCCAATTTCCTTGCTTCTGAATCATTCCCATGGCTTTGAGGCGTTTTGAAATGGCTTGTTGAGTCACTCCCAATGATCGTGCCAATTCTTCTTGGTTTTGACACGAGTCTTGATCAATGCCTCCAATTCTGCATCTTCGAAAACTTCTCTTCCACCGCTATGCCGGGTTTCGACGTCAAAATCACCGTTCTTGAAGCGTTGAAACCACTCACGACACGTTCTTTCACTAAGAGCGGTCTCCGCATAAGTATTTGAGAGCATTCGCTGCGTGATGAGCCTCAGCCGCAGATTTCTTCATATTGAAGCAGAAAATTAAAACCTCCCGCAAAAGACGAGAATTTGGCTCGTAAACTGACATTTTCAATCGAGAATAACTTTATTATGCAGACACAAATCGACTAATGTTTCCATGGGGTTATGTTGACAGATGCCCAAATTTATTGTATGACGTCTATCATTTATTTATTTCGACCATCACTTACCGCTAAAGCCATTTATAGGAAAACGGCGGAAGCAAATTTGTACACCTAATACATCAAAAATTCCATCATAAACTTAGTCATGTGTCCATTATTACAAAAAAATCGAAAGTAGCAATTATATATATAGACTTATTTGTCGTTAAAAATGTTCAACATAGTACAGATGTCTTAGAGATATCCATGGGTCATTCAAAAGACGTCCGTACGTACTAACAAAAGTGAAACTCCTCGTGCGATCTTTACAAAATTTTCACTTGTTAAGTTAGTGAAAGCAACACGTTGCGAGCAGATTTAGAAAATTTTTTGCACGAGATGAACATTTTTTAAATGTCCAAATCTGAACATTCTTTGTACGTTGAATGACGTAAGTTTTTAAAATATTCATACTATGTCCATGAACGTTCGGACAAGATAAAAATCAGATTTGGACGTCCAATGGACGTTGGGTGCTGTCTGGGAGGTATTCAAATTAATCAATTTATTAATAAGAGATAGAATAAAAAATTTAGTATTCATAGTTAATGATGGGGTGATCCTGATTGATCACGGCTCGATTGGACACCACCAATCACAGCGACCGATGCCTAGGAGCTTTGTAGTCTCAAGCGCTGTGAGTGGCTCGTGTTGAATTGAGCCGTGTCCAACTGGATGCCACCCGTTAATGATCCTAGAGATCGCCTATATAGTGTTTATCTCTTAGTATATAATAGGGCACTACTTATATTTTGAGCCTTGGCAACACGGAGTGTTGTCAGGTGCCATTGGACGTTTCCACTAGAAAGTTTGACATTTTTGACCATAACTTTCTTCAGAACATTTTGTTATTTGAGCGCGATTTGTATTGTTTACAGTCACTTGAAAATTGTGTCTCAGCGAAAAAATGGAATTAACTCGTGAAAATTTTCATGCAATGATTTATTACGACTTTCGACGTGAATTATCAAGACAGGAATGCATCGATCAACTTACTTCCACTTTTGGCGATAAAGCCCCATCCTTTGCCACTGTGAAATGCTGATATAACGAATTTAATCGTGGTCGCCGTTCGCTCACCGACGAAAGTCGTGAAGGTCGTCCAAAATCAGTTATTGTATCAGAAAACATTGATGCTGTGCAAAAACTAATAATGCAAGATCGTCATGTGACATAC